AACATGTACCTCAGATGTAGTACAGTATAAAGTACAATATGTACCTCAGATGTAGTACAGTATAAAGTACTATATGTACCTCTGAGATGTAGTACAGTATAAAGTACAACATTTACACTGTGAAGACATTTTGTCCCGTACTTGTCTCACGCCTGTCTAAAGGTCTAGACCTGGTTTTAATGACCCAGCTAGAACCAGGTTCAGATCTAGGACCAGGTTCATATCTAACACCAGGTTCAGGAATAGGACCAGGTTCAGATCTCGGACCAGGTTCAGGACCAGGCTCAGGTCTAGGACCAGGCTCAGATCTAGGACCAGGTTCAGATCTCGGACCAGGTTCAGGACCAGGCTCAGGTCTAGGACCAGGCTCAGGTTCAGGACCAGGCTCAAGTCTAGGACCAGGTTCAGATCTAGGACCAGGCTCAGGTCTAGGACCAGGCTCAGGTCTAGGGAACACCTTGTGGTGGACTGTGAGTGGCTGCTGGTTGGCAGTATGTTTCAGTGGGATTACAGAGATTACACCGTCTGACACACATCTGGAGTAGACAGATGTGTGTAGTTCAAGGTCAGTGTGTGTGTGTGTGTGTGTGTGTGTTAATCTGTCACAGCTCTCGTTCTTGTTTAATATTCTAGATTCATTTATGTAAACATCTTCTCACAATAAAACACTGATACTGTTCAGGGTTAAGGGGCGGACACAGGAAGCTAGGACAGAGGAAGCTAGGACACAGGGACAGTTGAGTAGAAGACGAGGATGCTGATTTTAAAAACAGGAGATGTTGAAATGTAGAGAATGAAGGTTTCATAATAAAGAAGAGTGAGACCTCCCGATCCCCTCCCCTCTTCTTCAGTCTATTGTGACTGAACTCCTTCCTCTCCTCACCCACCTCATCAACACGCAGGACTGCTAGAGTCACCCCCCTTCTGAAGAAACCATCACTTGACCCCTCTGATGTCAAGAACTTCAGACCGGTTTCTCTTCTACCCTTTCTATCCAAAACACTTCAACGTTCTGTCTTTAACTATCCTCCTATCTCCATCAGAACAGCCTCTTGGACCCCCACCAGTCCGGGTTCAAAGTGGGTCACTGGACTGAGACAGCCCTCCTTGCGGCGACGGAGTCGCTTCACGCAGCAAGAGCTAACTCTCTCTCCTCTGTCCTGATTCTCCTGGACCTGTCTGCGGCGTTTGACACTGAACCACCAGATCCTCCTCTCCACCCTCGAGGGGATGGGCGTCTCAGGCTCTGCACTCTCCTTGTTTGCATCCTACCTGACAGGTTGATCCTACCAGGTGGCGTGGGGCCGTTTCGGAACCACGCATGCTGACTACGGGGGTTCCACAAGGCTCAGTCCTGGGCCCCCTTCTCTTCTTGCTCTAGACAACATCTCTGGGTTCTGTTATTCACTCGCATGACTTCTCTTATCATTGTTACGCCGATGACACCCAGCTGGTCTTGTCATTTCCTCCCGGTGACACTCAAGTGGAGGCACGCATCGCTGCGTGGTTGGCTGACATCTCAAAGTGGATGACGACACACCACCTCAAGCTCAACCTGGACAAAACCGAGCTACTGTTCCTCCCGGGGAAGGGTTGCCCGCACCGAGACCTGTCCATCACCATTGATGATACCGTGGTGACGCCAACTCGGACTGCGAGAAACCTGGGTGTGACCCTGGACGACCAACTGTCATTCTCAGCAAACATTGCATCGGTTACACGCTCCTGCAGATTCCTGCTCTACAACATCAGGAGGATTCGCCCCTTCCTCACTGATGAGACGGAGCAAGTGCTCATCCAGGCTCTTGTCATCTCCCGCCTGGACTACTGCAACTCACTACTTCCGGAGCCCCGGCGTCGGCCATCAGACCTCTGGAGCTTGTCCAGAAAGCTGCAGCTCGCCTGGTGTTCAATCGCCCCAAGTTCTCCCACACAACTTCCCTTCTCCGTTCTCTACACTGGCTCCCTGTAGGATCATCCAGTGTAAGACTCTGGTGCTAGCCTACAGGGCAGTGAAAGGAACAGCGTGGCCTCTTTGGATAAAAGCTAAATGACTGTAATGTAAAGTTTTTATAATAAAGAAGAGAGTGAGACCTCCCGTCGGTCTGATCATTAGTGTAACACCTGCAGACGACCAGCAGGAGGCGACATGTTCTCTGTAATAAAGACAGAAGACAGCAGCATCGAGTTCACACATTTAATCTTAATGTTCACAATAAATACAACATCACTGAGCGAGTGAGTGTGTGTACGTGTGTGTGTGTGTGCTCGTCTATCAGGCGGCGCGAGGACTGTAGAACGGGAGTCCTCTGATGAACGAGTCCAGTCGACTGCTGAACAACTCGCTGTCCAAACTGTGTCCCAACACACAGACAGGGTTCTTCACTATGTACTCCACATACAGCTGAGAGACAGACAGGCAGAGAGAGTAAGTCAGTAGTTAATAGCTATTAGCTAGTAGAAATATGTAAATCAATGAAAACATGTAATATTTTGATGTGTGTGTGTGTGTGTCTCTCTCTCTCTCTCTTACGTTGCTGTAGATCTGCTGCAGTGTCTCTCTGGCGTTGGGGACAGACAGGTCCGTGTTCATGATGAACCTCAGTCCACTGGGAGTCTCGTAGTAGTGAAGACGGTACTTACTGGTCTGAAAGGACAGGAAGCCCTCCTTCCTGAGGACAGACAGGCTGCTAAGGACCACAGACAGACAGGCAGGGAGGGAGACAGACAGACAGACAGACAGACAGACAGGCAGGCAGGGAGACAGACAGACAGACAGACAGGACAGACAGACAGGGAGGGAGACAGACAGACAGACAGGCAGGGAGACAGACAGACAGGCAGGGAGGCAGGGAGACAGACAGACAGACAGACAGACAGGCTGCTAAGGACCACAGACAGGCAGAGAGGGAGACAGACAGCTGTTGTGAAGGATACATGTCCAGAGGAGACATCTTACTGACGAAGGAGCGGATGGAGAAGAGCATCCCGTACATCAGCTTAAACTCCTGCAGACAGACAGGTTATCAGACAGACAGACAGACAGGTTATCAGACAGACAGGTATTGCTCTGTCTCACCTCATCCTTGGAGATCCCGGCCTGCTTCTTGCGGTTCCACTCATTATAATACAGACAGCTGCCGTTACGGTCAAATATGTACAAGTTATGGACGGTCATCTGGAACAAAACACACATATCATGTACGACAGGACGGTCAATTAATGAGCCGATACTAAAGACTAAAAACATCAGTTAAATAAAACACGCTAGTTAAACATATTTAATAACTCATTAAAAGTCAAAAAATGCGTTGAAATAAGTATTTAAAGAGAGATTTAAGAGACATTTTAGGAGTGTTTACCTTATTTTCCTGTTTCCGGTTTTCTGTTTCCGGTCGAGCTCAGGACCCCGGTGAAGAGGTGTCCGCTTACATGCCAGAACAAAACTGCTTTTTTGTGGACTTTTATATAAATTTACATTTTAATTATAGTGAAGAGACAGAAACACGTGTTGAAATCCAACTCGTTATTTAATGACGCAGGATTATCTATTAAATATATTCTATCTATTATTGCGTAAATTACCCGCTCACTGTGACGTCACAGCTCACGCAACTAACAGACGAGAAACAAGATGGCGGCAGCAACAATGATGCCGTACTTCGGACAGCAGATGTCTTCTAAAACCGAACTGGTCCCGGACTGGACCAGCCAGGAAGTCAGCACCGGGGTGAGTACGCACCGGACCGAACTGGACCGGACCGTGTTCTGGTCCCGTAGAGAGTTTTAAAGCTGAAAGCAGCGGTTGAATGAGACAGCACTTCTCACTGCAGTGAAGCTAATGACGGCTAACCGTCCGATAATGGGCTCACTGCGGGAACACCACATCAAACGGCTTTAGACGATAAATAGTGCGCTGTTGTTTCTGATCTATTAACACGTTAACCTGTCTGTCTGTCCACCTGTCTGTGTCTCTACTTGTCTGTCCGTCAGACCACCATCATGGCGGTGGAGTATGATGGAGGAGTGGTGATCGGGGCCGACTCACGGACCACCACCGGGTGAGAGAGTCTGTCTGTCTGTCTGTCCGCACTGTGAGGAGGACACACTCCTTTAACCTGTCTCTCTCTCTACCCGTCTGTCTCTCAGAGCTTACATCGCCAACAGAGTGACGGACAAACTGACTCCTATCCACGACCGGATCTTCTGCTGCAGGTGAGTCCTCCAGACCAGGACCCAGACCTCCTCCTAACCTTTACAGAACCCAGACCAGGACCCAGACCTCCTCCTAACTCAGACCAGGACCCAGACCTCCTCCTAACCCAGACCAGGACCTCCTCCTAACCTTTACAGGACCCAGACCAGGACCAGACCCTCAGGCTGACCCTCATGTGTGCTGGTTTACAGGTCTGGATCAGCTGCTGACACTCAGGCCATCGCTGACGTGGTCACCTACCAGCTGGGCTTCCACAGGTAACACACACACACTTTGATTGACAGTCCCAGCAGCCAGTCATCTGTAGCTAACCTCTACCTGTGTTGTCCCGCCCCCTCAGCATCGAGCTGGACGAGCCCCCATTGGTGGAGACAGCCGCCAATCTGTTCAGAGCGAGCTGCTACAGATACAGAGAAGAGCTGACGGCTGGGATCCTGGTGGCAGGCTGGGACCGCAGGAAGGGGGG